AACCTTAATTTTGTGCATTTTTGAAATTGAAATTATGGTTTCAAATTAGGTCATTTACGAATTGAAATTATTTTTTGAAATTAGGGTTTCAATTTGTTGAGGCTCAGTATTGGTTTGTTGTTTGTGAATTCATTTTACAGAAATCAGGTTTGTTTGTCCCAATTTTTTCGAATTAGGGCATTTTCGAATTAGGGCATTTTTTTGAATTAGGGCATTTTTGAATTACAGAAATCATCTTTGATTTTGCAAATTAGGGCATTTTTGAATTATAATTTAAAATCTGTTTTGGTTTGTTTGTCCCAATATTTTTTATTTTTTTATCTTTTCCATGTAGAAGATGTCTTCCAAAAATCAAAGATGTCAAGGAATGAGAGTTTGGATCTTAGGTATAAGCATCCTAAGTGCTATTGCAACACATTTGCTCTCATTAAAGTTGTTGGCCCTACGAAAGAAACCGTTGGCAAGCTATTTTGCAATTGTCCGTACAACAAGTGTCGTTTCTTTGCTTGACTTATACCTACATCAGTGAATTGGGTGAAGTCAAATGAAGTACATGAAGATGATGTTTTCTTTGAAGATGATGGTGATGAGGTTGAGTCAACCGGAGCAAAACTAACAAATGAAAATGGGGAAATTGCAACAATGTTGAAGGAGATTCAATCAAAGATCGAGAAGTTTGAGAAAATATTTAGCAATGGATTGCTTTGTTTGGTTATTGTTGTTCTTATGGCTATTATTATGCTCAAGTAATTAAAGGGTTTAACTAATGTAATCATTTGTACAATGTGCCTTTGTTATGAATGGAATGAAATTTGTTGTTCCTGAATGAAATTTTTACTGACAATGAAATTCGTTGTTATTAAAGGGTTTAAGTAATGATAATCATTTGTTGTTCATGAATGAAATTTTTTCTGTCAATGCTTCTCCACTCTCACCACATCTATCTGCAAATGGTCATTACCATTACTACTATGACTAGCCAAAAAAATATCTGAACACACTATAAAAATCAAACATTACTGCCAAACATTCAACACCAAACATCCAAAACCAAAAAAATAGTACATGGAAATACACAACAATACAGCCAATAGCATTTAGCCAAACATTCATAACCCAACAATACTGCAAATAACATTCCAAACAAAATACACAATAGTGATACCACAACTACATTGTCATAACCATTAATATCACCATAGAACAAATGAATTCTTTACTGAACAACACACCAAAAAAACAATAGTCCATGGAATGAAAGAGTTATTGACCAACACTAAATGGAATCACCAATCACTACCATAATCCCTACTTTGTTGAGTGGATGATTGTGGACCAGAGCACTGAAGAAAATTTTCAAAGCATGGCACGGATGGAACATATGGCTGTGGTGGCTGAGCTGGCTGAGGCTGAGTTGGCTGAGGGTGAGATGGCTGAGGCTGAGATGGCTGAGGGTGAGGAGGCTGAGGCTGAGCTGGCTGAGGCTCCCTTGGCTGCCAAAAAAAAACAAATGAAAATAGTAAAACAACTAAATTCAGAAATAAGAACAAAAGAAATTGAAGTAGAAAAAAATATAATAAACACTGACCTGTTCACTTATTTTGGTGCACCTTCTCTTATTGTGGTTGTTGAGCCCACATAGACTGCATTTCTTCATAAGACCCTTTCTGCTGCTGTTTGATGCCTTACGCCTTATGTCATTAGCGTCAGCTCTTCTTTTCTTTGTTGGCCTATCCCTTTTTTCACAGCATCAGGTGGTTGTATTGGACCCATTCCAGACTCTTCATAGTCATTCATCCCTGGCACTGGGAAGATCATATGGGTATACATTCTGATATACATGTTCTTTTTGAAATAATCAGACACACTGAATCTGTGAAAACTGATACATGCCAGTGCATGGCAACAGGGGTAGCCAACCACTTGGAACATGCCACATGTGCAGCTTCTTGCTCCCAATTGGACTATATAGCTGTTTACTCCATGAACTACCTCATATTTGTCCTCTCCAGCCCAAGTAGGGTAACAATTCCTACTTATTTCCTTTTGCTCTTCAATCTTTCTGACTGTGTTTGGACAAATGTCCTCTTTGTATTTGTCTATTCCAGCTTTCTTCACCTGGATTCTTGCCATCAATCTTCTTCTGATCCACTCAAACATGTCCACAATAGCCATGTCCCTAGCTTCCAAAATGTAGTTGTTGAAAGATTCTGATAGATTGTTAACAATCACATCACACACTGCATTAGAAGAAAAGAAACACATGGCCCAGTGTTCTTCAGGAACAGCCTTCAGCCATTCAAATGGAGTAACCTGAGAAGAACAGACACAATATTGTAAACCAATAGAAGAACAGCCACAATATTCACCTGACAACAATATTCAGTACAATATCAAGTGTTCACAGCCATATTCAAAAACCATAGGCACAATATTCAGAACAGCCACAACCATAGGCACAATATTAAGCCTTCAAGAACAGGCACATGACAACAATGTTCAGAACAATATTAAGTGTTTACAGCAATATTCAAAAACCATAGGCAATATTCAGAACAGCCACAACCATAGGCACAATTTTAGAAACAATATTCAGAAATACTCAGAAACAGCCACAACCATATTCAGAAACAATATTCAGAATGCAACAATTCAGTGTTTGTTTATCAGAAATCACAATTTTAACAATCACAATTTTAGCAACATAAAAATCAGAACATTAGGCACATGCACAACAAAATGCTGAACAATAATCAGTGTTTATCAAAATCACAATATCACAATACAGAGAAGTACCTTGCCATCCCTCTTAGGAAAAAGCTTTTGAATTTGACTCATGCACCTCATATGTTCCTTCACATTGTATGTGCTAGCTGCCTTCCAAAACCATTTCCTCAACTCTAGATCCCCCCACTTCTGCTTAAAGTTATTGTACATGTGCTTCAAGCAATATCTATGCTCTGCCCCCTCAATCTCACTCACTGCTTCAAGCAAACCCTTTTGTCTATCTGAGACAAAGGTCCATTTCTTCTCCTTGTAAGGGTCTACATCTCTCATGAGCCTTTCCAGGAACCACCTCCAAGAATCTGTCTTCTCAACCTCCACATATGCCATTGCAATTGGTAGCATATTGTCATTTCCATCCCTACCAATTGCTGAAAGAAGTTGACCAACATGAAGAGTCTTCAGAAAGCATCCATCCAGTCCAATAATTGGCCTGCAGCCAGATAAGAATGCTTGTCTCATTGCAGCCAAGCAGACATACATCCTCATGAACTTTGGAG